GTATACAGTTGTTGTTCTTGTTATTTCAACTGCTTATATTCAGTGAAACTTAACAACCTATGGTTTTGAAATATATAGCATTATTGGTCATTGTTTTGACTACTACATTAACACTGTCAGAATAATTACAACTATCAACGACTAAATTTTAACACCACTGGTATCAAATTTGCTTTTTGAGTAATAAGAACATTCTAAAAGATAAAAATTCAATCCTACGCACATTGAAACACATATCACAGGAAAAAATTAAACTGGAAATTTTTGAAAGGTGAACATCAGTCAAATGTTTTTATTAGCTGTAAATAAAACTTTGAAAATGTTTTTTGGCTCTCCTGAGAAGTTGCAAAATTTTTAAATGCAGTTGATTAAATTCAGGAATGAGATTATTTAAATTGAAGTTTGATTATTACACTGACAAGCTGAGAATAAGCTTTTCTATTTGTCAAGTCTTATACTTAAGGTTGAGAAGATTTATTGAAGTTTACAGTCAAGTACTGTCTCCTCTAATGGCTGAGCTGGTTGATTGGGTACTGTTCATATTCAAATTTAAAAAATAGTAGATAAATGGAGTAAAAAGGGTTGAAAAAAGTAAGAAATGGATTTTATTAAATACTATTTTTTAACTTGATAGATACTGCATTCAATAATATTGTTTTAGTTTACAAGACATTCTTGAAAGAATTAGAAACAGTATTATTTCAACTTTTTCAATTTTTAAAAAAATTTTGTATCTCTCAATATTTCTATAACATATTTCCTATACTACATATTTTGTCACATTTAATATCATTAAATGTCAGAAAAGGAACACACCGTTGGGTTTGCAACTATATATTTTCAAAAAATTTTCTTTGAGAAGCAATTGCAGTGACTTCTATGATCACTGAACATGTCTCCATGTATATATTTGTCAAACTACTCCCCCCCTCCCCCTACTTTCGAAAACGTGTACTCAGGATCAAGTAAATGAGCATATTTACTAGGTGGATTTCTACAGATCATTGTCTATAAGTTGTTGGAGTTGTTCCCTTCCACCCTCACACATGTGGTGAACCAACAGTCATACTAGCAGGTGGCTGAGGCACCCAAGGGTAGGGACCCTGCAATTAATCATTTTAAAAACTTTTTAATAAAAAACAAGTTAGAACATCTTTATTTTTGTTTCACATATTATTTTTGAGAATTTGTGTTCACATAATGCAACTATCAAATTCAATGACAGAATATAAAGAAAGCTAAAAGGGAGTCACATTTAATCTGGAACATCTAAAATTTATTATGAACCACCAAGTTTTTTGTTGATACCCATTCTGAGACTGACGGAAATATAATAAAATAAAATCTCATATTCAAAAAAATGTTTAAAGATTGTTCTGCTCTAAATTCAGAATGTAACTCCTAATATAACGACAATATATACGAGTGAACTCAGATACTCAGACAAATTATATAAGCGAAACTCAGACAATCTCTTTAGTGATATCTCGCTCGAACTATTATTATTCAACTTAGGATCCTATTTATTAACACTGAACTTGAGTATGTAGTAATTTTTTTATTTATTTAAATTAACTTGCAAATAACACATAAACTTTAAAAGTAGCTGAAAGTTAGGTTCTGAAACAGGCTGAAAGTTTAATATTACTGAGACAAAAACAGCATCAGCAACAACAACAACAACAACAACAACAAACACACAACATCAACAACAGTAACTATCTCTTAAGTAAAGTGAGCTGATTTAAAAGGGATTGGAAGTTTTCAGGGCTTTGAATTTTCTTTTTCCTTTCTTTTCTTTGAGCGACAACAGTTCAACATTTTTATAGATTGTGAGAATAATCACTAATGAACATTCTTTTAAACATAAATATATGTTTAAAATTGAAGCATTTGGTGGGTATTGGCTACTGAAGATTTAAGGGAAATCACTCAGTTATCAGTTGTTGTTTTTTATTTCAACTGCTTATATTCAGAAACTTACCAACTATGGTTTTGAAAATAAGAATTACTGGTCATTGTTTTGATACTACATTAACACTTCAGAATAATTACATATCAATGACTAAATTTTAACAACACTGTATCAAAATTTGGCTGTTTTGAGATAATAACATTACTCAAAAGATAAAATCAATTCCTACCACATTCTGAAAACACATATCACAGAAAATTAACTGGAAATTTTTTGAAAGGTTGAAATCAGTCAAATGTTTATTAGCTTGTAAATAAAACTTTGAAATGTTTTTTTGGCTCTCCTGAGAAGTTGCAAATTTTTAAATGCATGTTGATTAAATTTAGGAATTAAGATGTGATATTAAAATTGAAGTTTTGATTATTAACTGACAAGTGAGAAGTAAGCTTTCTATTTTGTGTCAAGTCTTTAATCTTTAAGTTTGAGGAAGATGTTACTGAAGTTTACAGTCATAGTACTGTCTCCTCTAATGCTGAGCATTGATTGTGTACTGTTCAATTCAAAATTTAAAATATAATAAATGGAGTAAAAAGGGGTGAAAAATAGATAAGGAAATGGATTTTCATATAAATACATTTTTTACTTGAAACTAAGATATTGCATTCAATAATATTGTTTTGTTTACAAGACATTCTTGAAGAATTAAACATGTATTATTTCACTTTTTCAATTTTTAAAAAAATTTTTATCTCAAATTCTACATAGTCCTATACTACATATGTGTCACATTTTAATAATTAAATGTCAGAAAGGGAACACACCGTTGGGATTTGCAACATATATTTTCAAAATAATTTTTTCTTACGAAGCAATGCAGTGAACTTCTATGATCACTGAACATTCTCCATGTATATTATTGTCAAACTTACTCCCCCCTCTCCCCTACTTTCTGAAAACCGTGTACTCAGGATCAAGAATGAGCCTATTTACTATGAGTGGATTTACTACAGATCATTGTCTTATAATGTTGTTGGAGTTGTCCCCCTCCACCCCACTCACACAGTGGTGGTTTAACCAACAGTCAGTACTAGGCAGTTGCCTGAGGCCCCCAATGGATGGGAGCCCTGCCAAATTAATCATTTTTTAAAAACTTTTTTAATAATAAAACAAGTTAGACATCTTATTTTTGTTTTCACATATTAATTTTTGAGATATTTTGTGTTCATAAATGCAACTATCAAATTCAATGACAGAATATAAAGAAAGCTAAAAGGGAGTACATTTTAAATTGTGAAATCTAAATTTTTTATTATTGAACACCAAGTTTTTGTTGACACATTTTCTGGGACTTGACTGAAAATATAATAAAATAAAATCTCATATCAAAAATGTTTTTAAGATATGTTTCTGTCTAAATTCAGAATGTATACCCTAATAACACAATATATAAGTGAAACTCAGACACAATTATAAGCGAAACTCAGACATCTCTTTAGTGATATCTCGTGTGAACCGTAAACAAACACTACGAAGGGGCGTAACTATACAGCTGACGCAGCGGAGGGATACTTCTCTGAAGTACACGTGATGTTCACTTGTTTCCCGATCTGTCACTTTATCCCATCGTTAAGAAAATTCTTCTATAGTGAAGGAGCTGGTCAATGAAAACAGGAGGGGGCCCTCATTTGGAATCGCTTAGAGCCCCATTGAAAATTAATCTGCCACTCCACACACTCTGAGATCCATCACTGGCTTCACAGTGCTACTGTTCATTTGAGCACTGGTTCTTCCTAAACAACATATATTTTGAACATATTTAAATTTTTTGAATGAAACTACAATTATTAGAGATGTACTTCCTTTTAGCCACTTCAAATTCATGTTAGCCTAAAAGGAAAAGGGTTATATAGAAGAATTTTGAACACTATAATGAATGTTTATTTTACATATTTTCTATCATCATATATCATCTTTTACAGAAGGCCATCGAAGTACTTTTGGAACACTTTTGTAATTACACGTTAGAAGAATCAAGGATGTTTCATGTTAATTGCATAAGCTGAAAGCCATAGCCTCTTCATTGAATTGGACATGCATAGCAAAGGGTCACTGCACCTTACAAGTAATTTAAGGATATTTAAATTAGAATTTGTTAATATCTGTAAATTTGTAAATAAATGTAACTTCCTTCCTGCAGATAATGGTTGTAACAATAGGCCTACCACCTTTATTATGGGTGATATTTATTGTACATGCTTTCAAAAATGCTCAAGTTCTTTGATGTTGGTTATAAATCGATCTACACTTTACTTTTAAAATCCATATTGGTATATCTCATGCTCTGATTTTGCTACATGCGAGAGGAGTGGAAGGTTGGCTATTTTGATGACAAGTTTACTATATAAAATTGTAGCATGTTTTTATTGCCAAAATAATTTCTATTAGAGTGAACATTTCTGGCAGGCTTAAATAGTTTTTGTCAACAATGTTCATCGTTAATATTTATACTTAATTCAACTAATGATAGTAAAGGAGAGGGGGGAGGTATTCTGAGGCTTGAGAAAACATTCATATAAGAGAACAAACATAAATGGCGTCCTTTCCCAGTAAGTAAACAATATCTCAAACACATTCCAAATTACAGGTTCAAATTATCTATTTTCCATTTTTTACTTACATTTTCTTCCCAATAAATGTTGTAGCAATTATTTGCATCTGACCCAACATAATTTTTCATATTTTATTTTATCACAATACTTGTATTATATTCAATGTAATAATTTTAAAATCGTTATTTTGACTTTATTGTTTTAATGTTGGCATCATTTTCAATCTACTATTGTAAAAAATATCATAAATATAAAGCTAAATATATTGTTTTATTGCAGATTTGTCTTCCTTTGAAAATAAATTTTAGTATTTGTAATATAACTCGTATGAATTGCAACCTCTCAGTTTATGACCAAATTAAATTTTGTTTTAGTGTTGAACATTTCTTCTTGGATTTTCTGTACTATTTCTGTATTATTTATTTATCAACTCTAACTCTTCTATACTCTCAGTTACAATAAAATATAACAAACCATTTCTGTGAAAACATTTATTAATGAAAAATGATACAATAATACAAAAGATGAATTTATTTCATTGCGAGACCTACCACAACAGTTCATAGCATAAATAATACAATTTACTTACATTGTAAAATGGCTAGCAGAAAAATATTGAGAGTAATTTATTGTCAAAATTGACATCATGAAATTTTTTACAAAAGTACAATAGTAACAATCACACAAGGTTTGAGAATAACCAATCCTGTAAATGCACAATGGCAATGTACAAATTTTCTTTTACAAGATTCGATGGCTGAGTATCAAAAGAATTCACAAACCTATATACAAAAATAATAAAATTAACAACATTTAATCCCACATGAGAATGTGTGATCAAACACGTGTGCATATCACAGTTTCTTGTCACTAGGTTGAAAAAAGATGATACTAGGAAATGTAACAAAAAACTGTGATAGACAAACTGTTTACTCACATCAATTTATAAAAATCCCTCATTGGACATACTTTATAAAACATTTCTAACAATATCAGCCAGTGTAATTTGAATTGCACAACCTCCATCTGTGCAACTGGCAACCATATTTCTGTGGATATACCATTAAATACATGACCAGTTCATTTGTGTAACATTCATTTAGATGACACATAAATTAAAACAGAATTTTAAAGTATTCCAAAGATAAAACAATTTGTAACAAAAGGCAAATTAATAAGTAGCAGGATATGGCATGCCACTGGCTGAAAATGTAGATTACCCCCATAAAAAAAACACCAAAAAAAACAAACTTTTCTTCCAATTAACAGGTATAGGACTCACTGAAATGCTGTCTCTATTAGAGGTCTTGAAAGGAGACAGTCACATCATTTTAAATCCTCAACACACCTTCAAAAAGTGGATACATTTTTGATGGATTTTAGGCCATGAGGCAGACTAATTGTTTAGGTAACAGACTGAGAAAGCAGAGGTAGTTCACATATTGTTAGTATTTTAATAATTTCAAATGATAATAACTAATTTCTATTAATAGTTTTGAATATTTGACGTTAAATATTTGTAATAGAAATTTATGATGTTCACTGTAGTGTAAACTTTCTTGTTGTAGTTGTGAACTACTTACTGCAAAATTTTATTATTTTAAAAATTGTTATTGAAATTTCTGTATTCTTGAATTTGGATTACTACTTTTAATTTAGAAATTCTGAAGAAAGATTCTGCTTTAAGAGCCTGTTGCTTCCAACAGGATGCCAATAGCATGGCCTTTGGATGAGCAAATAGAAAACTTGTGAGGTGATGCAATTAGATGATTGATGTAATGAGACGAGCCTTGAAGTTCACTAATCTTTCACTAGTCTGCGCAATACGCTGAGAAAAGAAAATGTAATTAGTACAAATAAGAAAGTTGAAAGCATTTTTAAAATAAAAATTTAATCTAAAAATTTAAAGATGTACTTACCAGAATGAGATCTTGAATCAGGTTGGCAATTCCTCTGTTAGCAATAATGAACAACCTCGTCACAGGGCCAGGAATTCCAGCACCATAACCATCTTCTTTCTCAGCACCACTTGCCCCAGTGCCATCAGTGCTTGCTTCACTGGCTGCTCCACCTCCAGAGCTGCCACCAGACACCAGCTAAAATATAAATTAAAACTGTGTAACCACTATAACTTACAGTTAAAAAGTTAAACTTGTTCTTCACTGCAGTTAACTTCATTTATAAAAACTGTATTTTTAAGTTGCTCCAAAAACATATTTTGTTTTGTATATTTGAATAAATATTTCAAGTTGATAAATGTCAGTTTTGTGAATCAAAAATTAATGAAAATGAACTACATGTAGTTTGAAGTGGATGAAAAGCATTATTCAATTTTGTAACCATTCTATTAAACATGAATAATAACACACTTAAACTTTATTGGGACAAAGTCATACATTTTAAACATTACGTCATATATGTTATTACACTTGCTGAAAGAGACATTCTCATGTATAGAAGTGAGTCACACACACATGGACCAACATTCCTATGTTACTTACAAACACAAAAATGCAGATGTAGGAATATATACAACAAAACATTAACATTAGCAAAACCTGCTCTACAAGAGTCTTGGTCAATGATAGCTCATAAAATGCTGAATACGGCTAATACAATTATTTACCATTAGAAAATTCATGTATTCCAACAATATAAATACCTATTGGGGTATTGCACTTCAATATTAAATTAGACAACGCATGGATAAACATTTATTTTCATTACCACATACAACAGTCAGAATGGCACATAACATTTGTCATTGCTAGTCTACACCAAACGTTTGATTAATCATTATAATTCAACCTCTTGGTGTTTACATGTGATTTATTTCTTGTTGGTGTTGCAGGAAAGTGGGCACTGAGGATTATTAGAATATAAATTTGACAGAATGAAAGATGAAGAATAATGTTGTTTTTCCATACCTATGAGTATTAAGATAAGAAATTAGATAATAATAGAGTCATTCCTCATTTATTTGAAAGACTCATATTGGAGAAATGAAAAAGTAGATAGCACAGGAAGATTTATACCTGATTAGAGAATATTTCTCCAAAATATGAGAATATTACAGTTGAAAATCCCAGAAAATGGCGAATCAATCTTCCTTATAAATTTCATAAATATATAACTATCAAGAATTAAAAAAACAATATTTTAGACATTTTAATTAATTTCAGTGCTAAAATCAAGAATTCAATATGTAATATTCACAAATGGTGACTTTCAACTGCATGAATTTCATGCAAAGATATAAATAAGAAACAAATCGGTTCATATATTATGAAAGACTTTTTATCAAAATGAGGTTGTTAAACATGCATTTATTTGTTTGTTTTTTTGGTTTTTTATCTGACA